ATAGGATACCACAATTAACGCAGGATCGCTGGCAAGAGGAAACAACAAAGGTTTCAGGAGCGAGGACAATTTCCAGCAAAAAGAAGCAATTTTTATGTCAGACCAGCAGAGGGCGGTATTGCTGCACAGTCGGGCATACCCTGGAAAGCTGCAAGAGACTGTCCTAGCAAAGAGGAATGACTGCATCAGGGCATTTTACCTTTAAAACAAATACATTGTCTGCTGACATTTTCCACTTCGTTTAATGAAAACTTTTTTAAAAATTACCTTTTCTTCCCTATAAGATTTATATAAAATTGTTCTCAACCTTCTTTTATTGGAAGTTAAGGACCCATTTATAAGAGTGATGAAAACAGCTGACTAATATTTGTACAATTGTGCAATTCATGGACTCTCGAAATCCCACCCCTGAATGGTAAGTTGAGAACCCCACTATACTTGAAACCAAGTTGGATTGGCCTACTTCCATTTTCAGGATCCATCAAGATGAGAGAACCTAAATGATGTGCTTGCCACACTGTAAGATCTTACTTTATTTAAGTCCAAGAAAAGCTCAAATAGGAACAAGGCATTGAAGGCCCTGATCTTAAACTCACCCAGACAAAAATCAGCCCAGCAGTGCCAGTAAATCTAGAAGTTTTAGTAACTGTAGGATGGATTTCGTTACATAATAGTGACGTATCGTACACATAAAATAGAAAGCAGCAATTAAACACATTCTAAGATTATGCGTGATACATCCAAAAATTTCCCTTGTATTCTTGTAGCAATAGCCAGGTCTGTGTTAGAACGGCAGACTAGGAGATATATTGCTCTGAGCATGAACACACACACAAACAATGAAACAAATAATGAATACATGAACTGAGGGTTGGCCATGGAATACATGGTTCCTGCTTTTATAAGGTAAAATGATTAAGTCAAGGTGACCTGACAGTGTTTGACTTTCTCTGAAGCTCAGTAAAGCACAAACACAGTGCCATGGGTGGTGTGTGGATGCTGATAGACATAATCTATAGTTAGTTGACCTCTCCAGTGTCCTAAGTATAAAAATAAATAGAAGTCTTTCCATTTCCTTCAACCTCTAACTCCTAGGAGAATGTTTCTTATGCTAAAGTAGCTAAGAAAGCAATCCAGGAAATGTTATTAAAAAGCAGAAGAGCATGGATGAACCCAGAGAACATTGTGCTAAGCGAAATAAGCCAGTCAGAGAAAGATAAATATCACATGCTCTCACTCATTTGTAGACTATAATAAACAACATAACTTGATGAACAAAAACAGATCCAGAGACAGAGAAGCATCAATCAGACCGTCAAGCCTCAGAGGGATATGGACACATGTAATACCCTAATCAATAAATAATTAAAATAAATAGCGGAAGAAATTCACCCTGAAGAGACTCTGTGGCCCTTTACCGTGACCTTCTTTCAGGGTGGCTGCAACAAAGACATATCCTAGTTGCAATGACATTATTTCCATTTTAAGAAATAACTATTGCCTCGAGGTCTATGTCCTTTGGAGAGAGTAGGTGAGGTGAGAATTGAAACAAGCGGAGTCAAGACCACAGAGCTGAGGGTCGAAGGTGGAAACCCTGTTACTGAAGGGAAAGGAAGTTCTCAGTCCACACACACCGTGTCCATACCTCAACCAGCACGGAGACGCCAGAAGAGTCAAAAAGGGCCAACCCGCTGCAGTCCAGGACTACGGAGCATGTCCTCTCCTCTGGGCGGGGCTGTGACGCCTCTTCTGTGGGAGGAACATAGTAGGACTTGGGTTAGGACGATTCTGCGAGATTTCTGCTGCTGATTTTGTTGAAAAGTGGCACAGTAACAGCGGCCTCATGTTTCATGAGACTAATTCCAAACACTTTTTAATCTTCACATTTTCAATTGATGGCTCATTATTTCCAAAATCTTTGCTTTTGTGTTATTCAGAGGCTATTTCAGGTAGTTACTGTGTGACTCAGAGAAGAAGATGGGGGAGAGGCTAACTACCAGTGTCATTCCGCGGATAGAGGGACTGAAGCTCAGGAGTTTAACAATCTTTTTGATAAAAGATCTGGCCAGTTAGTGCCAACGGACTAGAACCCAAGCCTGAAGCCATTCTGCATAGGACGCCTTTCCACAACCTCACGGTTTCCTTCCTGGGGGCGGCCAGAGGGAGAGCCCTGTTTTGTTGTGCCTGGAGCTTACACAATTTTGGAGTCAGACTTTTAAGGGAAATATTCATCCTGGAAGCTGGTCTGCTGGCCTTGGGAAGGCTCTGAAGGAGGGGCCCTGAAAACTAGGTTTCAGTGGGTTCCTGGGAAATCTGCCTCTGAAAGCACCTGCTGGGAAAATAAACATTTCTGCATAGGAGTTCATGGCGTTTTGTCACTGATGTCCTAAGGGCCACACTTTCCTTGTGGGGAATGACATACTTCCAGAACAATGACAGGCCCCATCCGAGGTCCCTCTAAGGCAGCAGTTCTCAACCTGTGGGTCGCGACCCCTTTGGTGGTGGAACGACCCTTTCACAGGGGTTGCCTAAGACCATCCTGCATATCAGGTATTTACATTACGATTCATAACAGTAGCAACATTACAGTTGTTTGTTAAAGATTTACCAGCACATTACTGCTTAAAGTGGATACTATAGTTAAACATAAAGAAAATAATTAGTAATTTTAAAAAAAACAAATGGCTTTGATTATATAAATGGCTTACTCTACTGACATCTTTAGCAACGGTTCTTAAAATGACAGTGATGACACAATTTGTTACCAAAATCAGTCAAGTTCTTTTTATTCATGTACTTATATAGCTCTGTTCTTAACAAAAGGCATGTCTTTTACAACACAGTACGTATTTCAAAATAAACTACAACCTAAAATTCATAGTCCAAAAATTTATGTAGAAAAGTTATTAGAGAAGGACCGAGCAGGGAAAGGCGGAGAAGAACAGAAGGAGAAAGTGGGAGGAAGGAGGAAGAAGAGATAAAGAATGGAGGGAAAGGAAGATGGGGAGGAGTGAAAAAGGAGTAGGTCAGAGGAGGGAGGCAGAGAGAGAGGAAAAGGGGAAGAAGATATCATTCTCTGGTCTATATTCAAGTCAGAACACTTTATTTAAAAAAAAAACTGACTCACCAATGCAATTGCCATTGGACAGAGAATTGAGCAATGAGTTTTGTTCACACTGAAATGAAAACAAATATAAAGAATAAGGACATTTCAAAAATTAATTTCTTTCCCTGAAAAAAAGTATATCATTCTTTTCTCCATAAGTAACAAAACACTAGTCTTCAATATGTATTTTCCATAGTCTGTTTATTTCAGAATGATAAATACAATAAACTGGAATAATGAAATGATAATTAGCTCTAAGTATAAGTTTGTCCAGTAGATAAATTGTGTTATCAACTCAGACTATCTTGTTTACAATATTTTATGCAAGACTAAGTTTGTTTTGATTTTGACCAGGAATTAAATATTTTTGTGTGCTTTCATATAGCATATCCAATCAGAAGTAACCTCATTAACACAGCATTCTTTGAGAGAGAGTCACTAACCATATATTTCATATTATACAAAAGTTAACTGTTCATCAGACGATCCATGGACATGTCTGAGAAACATTCCTGATTTATGGAAATTCTAAAGAAATAAAATGACTCTATTTTACAATTAAACTTAACATTGACTATAAATGATGCCCTAAAGGGATAGCATGCTAGCCACTTCTCAAAAAAATGTATTACTAATTATTGCTATTACCGTTAATGGTGACAATGGATATTTCTTGAGTATTTACTATATTCCAAGGACTTTACATTAATCATTTAAAGTTACTAATCTCATTTTTATAAAAAATTGAAAATGTTCTAAATTTTGGAAAGTTTAAAAATAACTTGGCCGAAGTGACAAAGCTAAACCTGAGTTCATGCTTGTACATCCTGAACCCCATGCTACAAACTGCTGAATTATGTTCCCTCCCATGAAATCAGTTTGCATCTTACAGTCTGACTTCAGAAGATCACATGATTTTCCCTTCTAGAAACTCAGTGGTGTAGCTTATATATTTTAAGTTTGGCTCAGACAGGTATGAAGTAACTTCCACCAGGTTATTTTAAATTGTGGGGCTGGTGATGATTGTTAGCCCAGTGGTCGGCAACATAGCCAAATATCAACAGTACTTCTTCAAAATAGACTCGCCCAGGCCGAAAACCGACTTCTGCGCATGGGCCACGGAGTTTCAATCCCACTGTACGTACACACCGCACGTGGTATTTTGTGGAAGAGCCACACTCAAGGGGCCAAAGAGCTGCATGTGGCTCGTGAGCCGCAGTTTGCTGACCAATGAGGTAGCCCAATAAAAGACATTTATGAATGTACGTTTCCTTTTATAGGTCTTAACAGTGCCCTTTCTGAAATCTTCCATGTCAAAATATTCTGAATAATTTATGTAAATACTCCAACCACCAAGAGGCAAATAGTGACTCCACACTCCTGAAGGATACACTGCACTTAGAGATTTGGTTCCAAAGGGGACAGTATGGCAACGGGGGAGATAGAGTATAGCTTTAGAGTGGAGAAGCCTGACAAATACTACCTCACCCAGGTGACAAGGTCATCAACACCAATATTATAACTCATGTTGGGAGTCTGTACCCTAGATATAATGTAATAAAAATGGAACTTCACCTCCATAGTTTTCCTTCCCAAATTTATATTCCCAGGCCTACAGTCCGAAGAATACCACATAAGTCCAATAGAGGGAAATTCTACAAAACACCTGACCAGTACTACTCAAAACCATCAAAGTCATAAAAAAAAAAGACTCTATGAAACTGTCACATCCAAGAGGAACCAAAGGAGACAGGACAACTAAATGTAATGTGATATTCTGGATGGAATCCTAGAACAGAAAAAAATTACATTAGGTAAAACTAATAAAACCTGAATAAAGCATGGACTTTAATAATAATAATGTATCCATACTGGTTCCTTGGTTGCAACAAATATGCCACACTAATGAAAGAGGAAATTGTGTGGTGTAGGGTACATAGAAACTATACTAATGTAAGTGATTTTTTAATTGATTCTTCTCAAGATTATAGTACCTAGTACGCATGTCCATTAGATATATTCTGAATGAAAGTACATATGAGTTAATAAATGAATGAATCTACACTAATAAAAGAGAAACATGGTAATTGGCATACGACCGCTACCCTTTTCATTGGCTAATCAGCGAGATATGCAAATTAACTGTCAACCAAGATGGCAGCCAGCAGCCAGGCAGCTTGAAACTAATATGAGGCTTGCTTGCTTCAGTGACGGAGGAAACCAACGTTCCCCGCCT